GTTTACACCCAAATGTGCAGCATTCATGCAAAAGTTCTCAGTGATAATTTGTGTATTTTCTTGCACATGTGCATCTCCACATGTCGCCAACGTTTACAGTGCCTTGCGAAAGTATTCGGTCCCCTTGAACTTTTTAACCTTTTGCCACATTTCAGGCTTCAAACATAAAGATATAAAATTTTAATTTTTGTGAAGAATCAACAACAAGTGGGACACGATTGTGAAGTGGAATGAAATTTATTGGATGTGTCAAACTTTTTTAACAAATAAAAAACTGAAAAGTGGGGCGTGTAATATTATTGGGCCCCTTTACTTTCAGTGCAGCAAACTCAGTCCAGAAGTTCAGTGAGGATCTATGAATGATCCAACGTTGTCCCAAATGACTGATGATGATAAACAGAATCCACCTGTGTGTAATCAAGTCTCTGTATAAATGCACCTGCTCTGTGATAGTCTCAGGGTTCTGTTCAAAGCGCAGAGAGCATCATGAAGACCAAGGAACACTCCAGGCAGGTCCGAGATACTGTTGTGGAGAAGTTTAAAGCCGGATTTGGATACAAAAAGATGTCCCAAGCTTTAAACATCCCAAGGAGCACTGTGCAAGCAATCCTATTGAAATGGAAGGAGTATGAGACCACTGCAAATCTACCAAGACCCGGCCGTCCCTCTAAACTTTCATCTGGAACAAGGAGAAGACTGATCAGAGATGCAGCCAAGAGGCCCATGATCACTCTGGATGAACTGCAGAGATCTACAGCTGAGGTGGGAGAGTCTGTCCATAGGACAACAATCAGTCGTACACTGCACAAATCTGGCCTTTATGGAAGAGTGGCAAGAAGAAAGCCATTTCTCAAAGATATCCATAAAAAGTGTTGTTTAAAGTTTGTCACCTGGGAGACACCAAACATGTGGAAGAAGGTGCTCTGGTCACATGAAACCAAAATCCAACTGTTTGGCCACAATGCAAAACGATATGTTTGGAGTAAAAGCAACGCAGCTCATCACCCTGAACACACCATCCCCACTGTCAAACATGGTGGTGGCAGCATCATGGTTTGGGCCTGCTTTTCATCAGCAGGGACAGGGAAGATGGTCAGAATTGATGGGAAGATGGATGGGGCCAAATAATTCAATTCAATTCAGCTTATTTATATAGCATCAAATCACAACAAAGTTGTCTCAGGGCACTTTACAGGAACATTCACATAAAAGCCAATTAGTAAAGTTCTCTATCTAAGGAATCCATCAGACAAGTTGAATCTTGGCTTCGTTGCAGTCTCCCATCCTGAGCAAACACAGTGGCAACAGTGGAAAGGAAAAACTCCCTTTTAAAAGGAAGAAACCTCCAGCAGAACCAGGCTGAGGACAAGCGGCCATCTGCTTTGACCGGCTGATTGGTTACATTAGAAATGTGCACTAGTCTGCTGCAGCTTGATCCTGGTCCAACCAGCCTCTGAGGAGCAGCTGAAGGGATCTGAAGCTGCTGGACAGTTGGTCACTTGGTTCTAATGAGTAGGTGATTACAGCCGTCTGATAGCAAAGCCACCAAAGTTTGCAGGGCTCTCGTAAACTGTCGCCAAGGCAAAACCCTGACCAGGAGCTCCCACAGTGCGGCTCCTGGGGACAGCCAGATTATGACTGGTTTTGTACGTCTGCAGCCAGCTTTTGGGTCTAGATCCTCCTTGACCCACAGCAGGTTTCCAAGCCTGGGTGTGAGGAGAGAACCTCCTGTCCTTCACATCTACGATTTGAGAACACCCTTTTAGCAGGACCACGAGCGTATGTCTGCATCAGTACAGAGCGTCCACGTTGTCCAGGAGCAACTGAGCCGAACGGACGAGAAGAGGAGCCCACCTCGCTGAAATGCATTTTAGCAGCAACCCTGGAAGGTTGATGTGGTGCAGGAACAGGTCTGAAGGAAAACATCTGCCTGGGAGCCAAATTAGGATACTTGATAGGATGCTGCGTTCCCCACAGAGCAGACCAATTTCTTCTGCTGATAGAGGGGTTCTTCGGGTTCTGAGGACCACCAGCAACAGCAGAAGAAATGCCAAACGACTGCCTTGCTCCTATTGGAGCATCAGCCCTGGATGAAAACAGCCTTTGCCTGTTTGCTTTGAATGCTCTGCTCTTCACCAGTCTGACTGAACTCTGAGCTGGCTGGGAAACTGGTGTGGAACTCCTAGTGGAGAGTCCTGGACCAAAACCAATGGGTTTACAGGACCATTCTGGAAGAAAACCTGCTTGAGTCTGCAAGAGACCTGAGACTGGGACGGAGATTTATCTTCCAACAAGACAATGATCCAAAACATAAAACCAAATCTACAATGGAGTGGTTCACAAATAAACATATCCAGGTGTTGGAATGGCCAAGTCAAAGTCCAGACCTGAATCCAATCGAGAATCTGTGGAAAGAGCTGAAGACTGCTGTTCACGAACGCTCTCCATCCAACCTCACTGAGCTCCAGCTGTTTTGCAAAGAATGGGCAAGAATTTCAGTGTTTACTCTGGTTCATGTTCGTATGAATGAACATTTAAAGCGTCAGTCAAAAATTGTGCTTTTAATATGGAGAAAAAAATGTATATAAGTCGTTTTGGCGTATAAGTCACAGGTCTGGCAAATCTATGCAAAACAACTGAGACTTATACGCCGTAAAATACGGTATTTGTCTCTGAACTTCTAATATTGAACTGAATGTAAGTTAAAATGATCAAAAACAGTCGTGTGACTCTGATGGAGCTGGGTTTTTTGGACTGCAGCTAATTCTGGGTGCAGTTTGAGTCCAGTCTGTACAGGTCAGTTTCACTTCATGGAGCAAGACGACAAATAAAAGACAGTTTCTTTCTTCAGAGACTTTTCTATAAAAGACCTGACTTAATTTAGTTTTTTTTTTTTTTATAAAAGAGAAACTGTTATGGTCCTAAATAAATCTTGAGCTGCTACTTGCGGTGTTCGTGACCACTTGTTTCTTTCATGCCAGCTCCAAAACGTTCTCCATTACGAGCCCTAATCAATATAATTATGAAGCAAGTGGATTATTTCATGTAATTGAGGACTAAGTCGCCCTGTTATAATTGCGTTCAGCTCCATGATAAATTATGTCTCACTGCTGTAGGTAATTAGTCTGAAAATGCTTCCAGTTCTGGCTTCGGAGCCAGAACCAGGTTCTCAGTAATGCTCGCACGAGAAAGAGCTGTTTGCCGTTACAGACGCAGAAGGAAATTTATTTTTTTCAAAGAGACCACTCACCCGAAATTGAACCGGTTCTCCATCTCGGGCTGGATAATCTTAGACGGAGCAGATTGGATATCGGCCCGTACTTGTCCCCCCCTCGGTGTGTGTTCACTGCTCCTGCCTTCGTGTGTGTGATTGCACACAGAGTGTGATTAAGCGCCGCGGAGCCTCCCTGAGATGTGGCTCCCTGCTTTCCAAAAGGCTCGGCTCTGCCAGCGTTGCCGTGTGCGTTCCTCTGTAACCAGATCATCCAGAAGAGACGTTTTCAAGAGGTTCAGCACCTCCGCTCTCTCTGCTCTCACTTTGTTTCACATGGGCTCTTCCACAGATTAATAGAAAATAGGAGGTGGTGTTGCAAAGAAATTACTTGTTGTGGAAAAACTTTGTCGGTTTTTGTAGATGCTCCACATCGTCGGGTCCAGCTGACCTGAGTGAGGTTCTGGTCGCTGAGTGAGAACAAATCCCTGCAGGGGTCAAAGTCTGGTGGGATTAAATAACTCCAGAACTTTCAGCTTTTACGCCTCCGTTTGAAAAACAAAGAAATAACTGAATGTTAAATGTTTCCTTTACTCTGCCTGTACGATGAAATATTTACCTGAACCTTCTGTACGAACAGCTTAAACACACTTTTCTGTGTGTGTGTGTGTGTGTGTGTGTGTGTGTGTGTGTGTGTGTGTGT